TCTCTCTGCGCGGGCTTGCCAACAGGCATCGTGTCCTATTTGATTTCTCATTTTCCCGTACATATTTGTAATTTTCCCCTTTCCTGAGCCACCCGAGAACTGGCTGTGTTCCCTGTGCCCCATTTCCCTTTATACTTCCGTGTTAGTCCCCAAGGTCAACCTGTTTCCTCACCGAACCACAGCTTCAAACTCGGGGTGTCATGTGACACGTGTCATTCACTTTCCAGTCTCTCCACTTGTCCCAGGAGCGCTGTGTGGGCCCCTCTCTGGGGACGGAATCCTCTCCACGTTGTTTTAGTGTCTTTAATCCGGAACAGGTCCTCAGCCTCTCGTGACGCTGGAACATCCGTCGCCGTGGCAGCTGTGGTACGGCGCGTCTCCGAAGTTGAGTTTGGCCAATGGTTACGATGGTCACGATGAGAGGCTGCCTGTGAATTTTATACTTGAAGGTGTCATAGTGACGTGTCTTTCTCAGGGCTGTACGTCTGGAGGCACGTGATGTCAGTCTGCCCCTTACCGCTGCTGTGGATTTTGCTCACTTCGTCATTTTCTCATTATATAGTTTTTTTTTGTTTTTTGGCTTTTTTTTTTTTTTCCATGATTTAAAGTAATTTGTGCGGAAATCGTGCTAGGATTTGACAGGTGACGCTGTGCTTTGGGAGAATCGACTCTTTAAAACCGTTGAATGGTCCGTCCTAGGAATATGGTACGTATTTCTACTGATGTAGCTTCTCTTTTCTTTCTCTCTACAGTGTTTGGAAGTTTTAAGTGGGGAGGTCTTGTACATTTTTACTAGGTTTTGTCCAAAGTATTTCAGCCATTTTTAATTGAGAAACTCAGGGGTATTAAGTACCTTCTCCTTGCCGTGCGGTCATCACCACATGCCGTCCAGAGCTTTCCACCTTTCCAGCCTGAAACCCAGTGTCTGCTAGACTGTGGCTCCCCATTTCCCCTTCGCCCCGACCCTTAGCAACCATGATTCTACTTTGTCTCTATGAATTTGCTGCTCTTGTGTACGTCTAACGTTACTGTAAATGACTTTCTTTTAAATATCTATCTGTTTATTTGAGAGAGAGTGCAAAGAGTGGGGAGAAGCAGTGGGAGAGGGAGGGAATCTCAAGCAGACTCCCAGACGCTTGGAGCCCTGCGTGGGGCTTGATCCCGTGACATCGCAGCGAGCCAATACAGGAGTCGGATGATCAACCGCCAGCATCACCGGAGCATCCCTGGAAATGATATTTTTTAAACATTCCGTTTGCTAACTGTTACATGTAGAAATACAGTTGATTGTATTGACCTTCTCCTGGGGCCGTACTAGATCTGTAGTAGTTTTAGCAGGTTAAAAATATATTCCTTGGGATTTTCTATGTAAATTACGGCATCAGGTCTTACTTCTTCTTCCCAGTCTGTGCCATCTGTCTGCCGGGCCGCTGATCGGTTGACCACGCCGTCTCCTGATCGTACTGGCTGAGCCCCAAGGTCAGCTAGAATGTAAGAGCAGACAGGTTCATCTTCCCAAATGAATGTGGGGAAATGTCCCTTATTTCACCGTTAAGTAACGTTGTTCACTGTAGGCATCTGATAGATGCCCTTTCAGTAGAGTACACTCGGAGAGGTTTTCTGTTTGTCGAGAGTTTGGTCATGAATGAGTGTTGACTTGTGTCGACCTTTTTTCCTTCTCAACTGAGATGATTACACGGTTTCCCTCCTTGTCTCTGTTTTCGGTGACCGGTTTTTAAATGTTGAAACACCTTGTGTTTGTGGATCGCCCAGGTGGCTCACTGCCCATTTCTCTATTGTCTTTCTGTTTTGTTGGGTCCAGCCTGTGCGCTTGTGTTTTGTGAAGCGTGGTGCCCGTTCAGTCCCGGGCACGTTTGTCTGGGACGTCCTTGGACGTGCTTGTGAGTCGCTTGTGTCACTGCGTCTTGGGGATGATCTGGGTGCAATCTCTTATTCCTTTATATTCTGGAAGAGTTTATCTAAAATTACTGTTTCTTCCTTAAATGTTTGACAGAATTCACCAGTTTCTATTATCTGGGGCTGGGGTTTTAATCATGGGAAGGTTTTTTATTACAACTTCAAATTTCTTAAGACATTTAAGGCTATTCTGAGTTTTTTTTCTGTTTCCACTAATTTTAGTGTATTGTGTTTTTCAAGGAATTTGCCCTATTTTCCTAAGTTACTGGATCTGTGTTCAGATATTTGCGCATAACGTTCCCTGTTGTCTCTGAACATCCGTAGAGTTGGACAATGTCCCCGTCGCATTCGTGATGTTGCTGGTGTGTGTTTTCTCCTTCTCTCTTCTGTTTTTCTTTTCCAGTTTTTAAGCAATTTTGTTCTTTTTTTTTTTTTTAAGAACTAACTTTTGGCTTTATTGATTTTTCTGTTTTTGTATTGATTTCTGTTCTCATCATTAGTATTTTCTAGTTATTTCAGGCTTAATTTGACATCATTTTTTCAACTTTTTTCTTCACCCTGAAGGACAGACTACATCAGAGCTCCCCTCCCGTGCGCAGGTGATGTTACACGGAATGTGGGTGTCTCTGATTTTCCAGGCGCAGTGGCAAGCGCCCTGAGCCACCCGCAAACGGTGACGCGTAGCACACGCACTGGGGCAGAGCCGACGTGCGCTTCTGGTGCATTTGGTAGGCACTGGTTTTTGTTTAATCAGCAGCTGACTCCAGCTCACAAAGAGTGAGAAGGGAGGGGTCGGGCTGTATTGTTAGCGTGTGTGCTTGTCTAGTTAGGCTACATTTAAGGAATCCTTGACCCAAGGAAATAATGGCTAAGCGAGCTTGCGAGAAAGGGCGTCCAGCTCGTGTGGACACCACAGTCTCTTTGTTTCAGTTATTTATGGCTCCAGGTTCCTTTCTTTGAAAAAAAGAGCTCCTGCAGGTGCCCAGGAGGGAGAGAGCCGAGCGGCTGAAAGGGTGTTCTGCCAGATCCTTTGTCTCTGCCGTTACGAGCGTCCGGATTTTACATTTGTGAAGGAGCTTTCTGAAATATGGGTTTTCACGTCCATTTGGTGGAGCTGGACACAACACAGGTTTTCCTGGGGGCCGGTCCAGACCACTGTAGGGCGGGCTGACGAGTGCTGTCAGGCTTAGGGGCTGGTTACAGATTAGCTAGAAAACAAGTGACTTAATTACAGTCCTAATGCACTTGTTAGTAACCTGCCCCTGGAGCCCCAAGCACCTCTCCCTGGCTCCAGCCACTGCCAGCTCTCGCATATCGGCTGTGGCCCCGTCCCCGTCTCCTTGGAGCATCCTGAGGGCTCTCTGAAAAGCATCTGGTACTCAGAATGCCTGATCTCATCAGCTGAAGGCACGACTAACAGGTTCCCACAATAGAATGTGGCACAGACTCCAGCATGCCCTGTGCGTGCTGTGCGAAGGCCCTGGGGAGGGAGTCAAACTGGGGGGCCCGGTGGGAGGGCCATGCTTCGGTGAGGCTCACCACCCAGCCCCTGTGTCTTGAAGTGTGGCCTGTGCCGTCTACTTCTCTGTTGTGTAATAAGAACATCTCCTTGTACAACTTATTTGAAGACCAGACTTTCGGGGATCTCCACTGTTTCCCTCCATTTCTCTCATGTGATGTGGGAACGCGGTTCCTGGACTGTCAACGCTTTCACGAGTCTTGCTTGCAGACAAGCGACGCTCGTGGGGTGCGCTGTGATGTTTCTGTGTGGCTCACGGGTAGGATGAGATGTTCGTGGCCAACGTTCTGCATGCGTTTGCTCAAAGACATGGATGTGTGCCCACCCATGTGTATGCTTCACGTTTATGATCCATCTGTCACGCTCCATGGCGCCACGCCCTTAACGATGCTGGATTTTTTTAAGTTAATAGATGTTATATTTTAGAGCCATTTGGGATTTCCAGAAGAATTGAACAGGAAGTCTGGAGAGTTTCACCGACACCCCCCCAGCATCCACACCTGCGGTTTCCCCCTTAGTGTGGCGCGTTGGTTAGAACGGACGAGCCAGTGCCAGTACTTACGATGAGCTGAAGTCTGTACCCGGGAGCTTTCACTCGGGCTGCCGTCCCTGCTGGGACTTTGGGCAGCAGACTCTTGGACAACAGGGGGAAGGGGACGCCGACCCCCATGTGGCTGGAAATCTGTGTGTAACTTCTGGCTCCCCCAGAACTTAACTCCTAGCACCTTACCAATCACTTAGTCAATTAACGTTTGTTTTGTGTGTCGTATGCGTTACGACTGAATTCTTGCAATAAAGTCATCTACAGAAAAGAAAATGTTATTAAGAAAATCATAAGGGACACAAAGTGCATTTACCGTACTCTGTTGTGTTCACCGTAAACACGTTGCCCATCAATGGACTCACGAGGTTCAAACCGGTGCTGCTCCAGCGTCAGATCTAGAAAGACGCGCACCCGCCGCCACAGTGTCATCCAGAGTCGGTTCCCGGCCCTGAAGTCCCTGTGCTTTGCCTGGTGGTCCTGTGCACCACCCCCTCCCCCAGCCCCCGGCCACCACTGACCTTCCCCCGTCTCCATAGTTCTGCCTTTTCCGGAAGGTCTGGCTGCTGGACTCCTACAGCACGTGGCCTCTCTGGATCGGTGTTTCACTTAGTCCCGTGCATGTGAGCTTTCTCCGTGTCTTTTCATGGCTCCTTTGTGTTTGGTGCTACAAGCTCTTCTATCTGGACGGGCCACGGTATCTTTGCCCATCACCTGCTGGAGGACAGCTTGGTTGCTTCCAAGTTTGGGCAGGTTTTCGGGTGGTCTGAAGTTTCCAGCTCATTTGTGTTGGTACCAAGGAGTGAGACGATGAGATCACAAGGGTGTTCCGTATGGTGACTAACGTTGCATAATGAAACATAATAATCATTGTTTAAAAAAGATCTAGTTGGGTGTATTACTTGATGTGTAACAAAAAATCAACCCAATGAAATTTAAAAATCTTAAAAAAAAAAAAAAAAGATGCTGGATTTGAAGAGAAAACCAAACAAGCCAGTGTGCTCATGGCTGTGTCTTCCCCAGAGACGACTACCACGAGGACGGCTTCTGCCAGCCATACCGGGGGATTGCGTGTGCACGCTTCATCGGGAACCGGACCATTTACGTGGACTCCCTCCAGATGCAGGGAGAGATTGAAAACCGCATCACAGGTAGGAGCCCTGCGTCGTTGTAGTCGGACCGTGAGCGCGCGCCGCCCGTCTCCACCCCCCTCGTGCGTTTATTTCCGATCTCGGACACGGAGTCCCTGTCCACGTGTCGTGCGACAGAGTCAGACAGCCCTGTTAGAAGCAGCGGGGACTGGCCCCAGGGTTTGCCCTCCAACATTCCCGTTTGTGCATTCCCACTAGCAAGCACACTTACTTGGGCCCACTGCGTGGCTCCAGAGTCCTGAGATGTCCCGTCTCACTGCGTCGCCAGGGCCTCCTGTCCCTGGGCTGTCCCCTCCTGTCCCCTGGCCACACCGCAGGGAGGCCGGCACCCACCGCACTTAATCACTGCACTTCTCTGTTCTGCGTTCCCCGACTCCTGTCCCCCATAGATCTGAGCTCAGTGAAGAGCTTCACGGGTCTGACTTCGGTGTTGGGGACAGGGGTTTGCAGTCTGTGGCGGCGCCCGGGGACGCTGCCTGGCCGCCTGCGACCAGCAATCAGGTCCCGTGGACAGTCAGTATTCGGGGACCTGCTTCACCGCGTGGGAAAGGGGGCGGCTCCCTTGGCAGGCAGTGGCCTGCTCTCTGTCTCTGCCGGCTTCCCGTTTCGGTCGGCCGGTCGTCCTCCACGCGCTGGCTTTTACGTGGTGATGTGAAGGTCATCTTGGGGGAAATGCTTTGAGAAGTAAGAAAATGAATTCAACCGAAGCCCCTCTCCGCTCTCCCCACAAACACACACACGTTTCCTCTCCAGCCTCCAGACGGCATCGACTTGTCCTTCCAAATCCGGGTCACCCCCCCTTCACTTTCACCTCAGCTGGAGGGTCTAGGGCGATGGCCGTGCAAGGATCCGCCTGGCCCGTGGTTCCCGAGCCCCTTGAGGACAGGGCCAGGTGTCCACGGAGAAGTAGGAGGACGGTGGTCATCCAAGAGGAGCCCGTTTGAGAATGTTGCTATTTTTGGAAAAGCTTTTCATGCTCTCTAAAGCAGAACTGCTCAAACCTTTTGGGCCACAACATTCAGTGGTTTACGTTAGGGTCTGTGTGGCCGTACCCGTGCCCCAGAGACGTGACACAGGTTCCAGGGAACAGAAATCACCCTCGACAGAAGCAGGGCTCTTGGATTTTTCTCGTCGCTTCTCTTTCATTAAGGGAAGAGTCCGTTATGGCCTTAGTAGGAGCCACGCGCTCAGACATCCTCCATCCTAACCGACCTGGGAAGCGCTAGCCGCGTACCTCAGACCGGGCGTCCCACTCACTGACGAACCCGGCTCCCAGGCATGAGACTGTCCCCGAGTCACATCTCCGGGAGTGGCTGGACACGCTGAGCACATCTGCTGTCCGAGCAGGCGGGCCGCACAGCAGCGTTTAGACGAAAGTCTAGAACAAGCATCTCTAGGTGTGTGGACGTGAGAGGAGGTGGAAGTTGACCTGGGCTGACGGGCTTGTGGTTCCGAGGCCGTTGGCTCTGCGGTGTCCTGCCTGGGGCAGGCTTGTCAGAACTCACTCCCAGGACTCTGGGAGCTTCCGGGGGAAAGAGTCCCAAGACACCTTCAAGGTGACGTGGGGAGTGGACGGAGGCGGGGACATGAGCTGCTGGACCTTCCGGGTACCTAGAGCCGGACGTTGAGAAGTGAGCCCACATGGGACGTGTCTGAGGGGGCAAGGGCAGAGCAGAGACCATCACAGGGTCACGCTCCGCTGGTGACTGTCCTGAGAGCAACGCCAGGTCTGTCTGGCTTCGACCGTCCTTCCGTGCCCGGGGTCCCCGCCACGCCACGCCCGCCCTCCTGATGGCCCCCAGCTCCGTCATGGGCCTGACCGGGCCTCACCCCGGGCTCCCGAGCCGTCTCCGAGAGACCCTGCCCGGGGACCTCCTGCCCCTCCCCCAGCGTCAGTCTTGGCCAGAAGGGACCGGAAGGAGCAGGGACCACGTGTTCCTCTCCCGAGCTCCCTCAGACGCTCTGTGTGGGCATCCGTCACTCAGGGTGTGGCCTCGACAGGTCACCGCACAGGACCAGACAGGACAAGGGACCCACCATCCGTGGTGGGTAACGGGTGGTGCCAGAGCTGGGCTCCCTCCGGCTCATCTGCCCTGGGCGGGGCCGGGCCGGTCAGCAGAGAGTGGGCGCCCGCAGCGCCGCCTGCTGGCCACACGGGGCTCCACAGCATGGGTCCCTGGCCTGTGTCCCGGGGATGAGCCCGGCCCGCCTGTTTTCTCGCCCGCGGCGCAGGGTGTGGGGCAGGACCTCTCTCTTCGGCCGCCGGGTCACATCCTCAGGAGCAGAGCCCTCGCAGGCCACAGTGGCTGGGCCTCGGGGCAGCAGGCACGCCAGCTGCGGCCTCCCTTTGAGCCCTGACGGGGCTGCTGCCTCCTGCCCTCCTGCCCCCGCACGTGTTCCCGCTCGGCCCGCAGTGCCACTGCGTGTTCTCTCCGGGTCACACGCCATGTTTGTTCCGTTCTGCTCCATCCCGTGTCCTGTCCTGCCTCGGAGGACAGACAGCCGACCGCGGCTCAGACCCTGGCTACACCTGCTTCTCTGCTTCCTGGATCCCAAAGCACCTCCCTCTGCCCCTCCCAACGCCCTCCGGCTATCTGGGGGCTCCCCCCCCCCCCCGCCTCTCCTGCTGCTGCTTGGTCGCAGCTCTGGTCTCCCGTGTGTCTGCCCTGCTGCCGTCCTCCTCGGGGCAACCTTCCACCCCTCCCTGCTGCAGCCTCCCCAGGCCGCCAGGTCGGCCACAGTCCCGCAGGACGCCGGGCTCCGTCCCTGCGCCCTGTCCGGTCTCTGCTTCAGACGTCACCCAGGCCCGTTGCTCTAGCTACCGCCCACTGCTTGCAGAGCCCAGTTCCTAGCAGGGCCTTGGGAAGTGGCTTTGGGTCTGACCCCTGAATCTTCCTGTGCTGGAAGAAGCCTCCAGCCGGGTGAGATCCTGGGCCCAGTTTCCCCTTCTCTCCTGTTCCGCGTTTGTAAGTGAAGCCCTGGGACTGAGACTTTCCGTGTTCCCAGCACATCCGGGCAGCTCCTGCTCTCGGGGGGCCTGCCTTGGAGGGAGCCGTTCTGGGTGTGCAGAGGACAGGGCAGAGGGTTGGGGGCCCTGCTGGGAGGGGAAGGGGGAACACGAGCGGGAGAGGGGTGCAGTGGGGCGTGGGGGCGGGGAGGCTCCGGCGGTGTTCAGGGGCCCGGGAGCAGGTGCCACCCAGCCTAACGACCGTCTCACGCCCTGCAGCGGCCTTCACCATGATCGGCACCTCCACGCACCTGTCAGACCAGTGCTCGCAGTTTGCCATCCCGTCCTTCTGCCACTTCGTGTTCCCGCTGTGCGACGCGCGCTCCCGGCTGCCCAAGCCCCGCGAGCTGTGCCGGGACGAGTGTGAGGTGCTGGAGAGCGACCTGTGTCGCCAGGAGTACACCATCGCGCGCTCCAACCCGCTCATCCTTATGCGGCTGCAGCTGCCCAAGTGCGAGGCGCTGCCCCTGCCCGAGAGCCCGGACGCCGCCAACTGCATGCGCATCGGTATCCCCGCGGAGAGGCTGGGCCGCTGTGAGTCCCGTGCATCCGGCCTGCCCGCGGCCGTGGCTGCTCCAGCCCTGGGGCCCCTCCGGCCCGCATGGGGCTTTCCGTGAGGGCTCTGGGGTCCTCCTGCGGTGGGCGCACGGCAGGTGTGCCCCTGCCGTCTTGGCACTGGCGAGAGTCACTACGTCATTGGGCTTCAGACTCCACTTCTGGGGGTTGAGGGGGGCGTCATGTCCGTGCCCGTTAGCAGCCTGAGCAGAGGCACGGCCGGCCACCAGACCGCCCCGCGACCCCTGAGGGGCTCTCTTCTCCAACTAGGTCAGGGTTGCTGCCCCTTGCAGGGGACGGAGCGGGGAAGAGCCCACCGTCGTCCCAGGCCCTGGACTCTGGCCACTATGTTGGTGAGGCTGGGGGTTCTCAGAGCCCCGCAGAGCTCCTTGGGGGGCAGTCAGAGCCCGATCTCTGGGCTCCCGGGGGCGTCCGGATCCAGGCGGCTCGCTCCTCACTCTGCGTGTGGTAATAGCCACAGAAGATGGAGCGTAGGTTAGTGAGTCCGTCTTCAGGAGGGCCTGAGAGCGGCGACGGAACTGAGGCAGCAGAATGGCTCCGAGAGGGCTCTGGGTCTCCGCCTCCCCGGGCGGCAAAGCGAGCGTGAGGTTGGGGTTGACGTCCTCCTGCAGCGGAGGTGCCTGGCGGGCCCCCAGGGGCTTCCACACTCATGGGGTGACTTCGGATGGGCCTTCCTTCCGCACTCGTGCCCCCGGACGCCCCCCACCCCATGCCCCGACTTACCTGGTGGGCCTGCGGCTTTAATGCTGCGGTTTGGTCTTCTGGAAGTTCCAGTTTGGGTACGTGCAGGCAAAGTGGTGGCGGTGGTCCTTTCTGGAAGGGCTGGGGAGGCAGCTGCCGCTCGCCAGCCGGGCGTCCTCACGCGTCTCTCTCCCACAGACCATCAGTGCTACAACGGCTCGGGCACGGATTACAGAGGCACGGCCAGCACCACCAAGTCGGGCCACCAGTGCCAGCCCTGGGCCCTGCAGCTCCCCCACAGCCACCAGCTGAGCAGCGCAGACTTCCCCGAGCTCGGAGGGGGGCACGCCTACTGCCGCAACCCCGGGGGGCAGATGGAGGGCCCCTGGTGCTTTACGCAGAATAAACACGTGCGCGTGGAACTGTGTGACGTTCCCCCTTGTAGTATGTATTCTCTCTCTCTCTCTTCTTTTTTAAAGCGTTAACTGTTGAGGGAACCTGGGGATGGCTTGGGGTCCCAGGGCGCCTCCCCCATGCGCCGCCCTGATGACCAGCTTTAAATAAACCCGTTGCCGGTTCTGGAAGCAGTACCTGGTCGTTATGGGACATTTTAAATTAGAGAAAGTTCTGGAGTCGTGTGCCCCTCAGCCCAGATTCCACCATGCGGGGGAGATGGCTCATTAGGTCTGGGGGCCCCTCGCCAGCCTTCTCCTTGCGGGTGGCCCTGGGATGGTCGGTTTGGTGCCTGGTTTCTCCATCGATGTCATCACGTGCTGTTTCCCAGTATTGGTGGACGGGCTTCCTGCTGCGGCCACAGCCCTCGGCCTGGCACTGGCCCCGGGGACACGGCGCCTCCCGCTGCCCCGGCTCACACAGGAGGAGCGAGGAACACCAGAACTTCGGTCTCGTGACCGGTCTCCCTGCCACGTCCTCGTTAAAGTACGAACGGGACAAGAGAGCCGTTGAGGGTCGCACACTTCACAGGCCTCCCTATTTCTGTCTCGAGGCCATTTACGTTTCGCCGGCTCCCACCAGCCTGGGTCCCCGGGAGAAGGTTGGCCACCTTCTGAGTCTTACGTTCTGGTTCCTGGAGGCAGTGAGTTGCTGGGACATTACCGAGAAGTGACGGATGAGGAGAGAGGAAGGGTGAAGCAAAGCCGGGCTTGCCGTCCCCTCGCCAGCCTCCTCCTGGCGGCCCCCGGCCCAGTGCACCTCCCCATACGGATGCTGGCTGTGGAAACTGGCATCGCTTCCCTCCTGGGAGTAGAATGGGCCAGTTCCAAATTTGCCACTCCTCTTAACTCAGCACAGGTCGTGCCACGGATCTTCGAGAACGTGCGTCCGCTGCAGGACTAACTTTTAAGAATGAGAATGTTGACAGTATCTTGAAGCTGTTTCGTGGTTTGCTACGGTTTCTAGAAAAAATTTCCTGCAAGGAAGGAAGGATGTCCATGATGACCTCCTGGGGAAAGAAAGAAGGAAAGAAAGAAAGAAGCTGTAGGATGATAGCTGGTTTCTCCTGCTTGCTTTTTCTCCCCCGACCCCCTTCTCTGTCTTTCTTTGTGAAGGAAAGACGTGCGCGTGTGCATGCGTGTGTCCGTGTGTGTGAGCACACACGGGCACCTCCATGTTATGCGTGAAGTTTTGGAGTGATACACGCCAAACTTTTTGCAGAGATTTCCTGTGGCCTGAAGAAATGTTAAAACAGAATATGTTTTCACAATGAGCCGGTATTACCTTTGTAATTAAAATTAATCAAAACACTAAAAATATGTATGCTGTTCGATCTGGCCGATCTAGGTACATTGGATATTGCAAAAAACTTTGCATTCTGAGGGTAGAAATGCAAAGCATACGTACTGTAGGATGGCTTTTAGCAGCTAAGTGAGAAGCAGGCTCATTGCTTCCCAGCAGGGTTCGGGTGATGCCCGAGGAACCCCTGTACGGGGGATGGTGTGTGGCCCCCGCCCGATGCCTGGAGCTGTCTGGTCCTTGTGGAACCGTGTCTCAGATGCGGTGTTCTGCGATAAAACCAGTGGCCAGGGAATAGGGAGGATACGACTGCCTTTAAAAAGAACTCGATATAAAATTCTCTCTTAACTCTGCGACACTGCTGCTTCTGCGTGTCGGGACAGCTGAATGCCGTGTGCTCCTGCTCACCTTAAACGGGACGTAGGAAATTGGGCAAACGCCCCCATTAACGTGGGTACAGTCTTTGGCCTGTGGGCTGCAAGGACGCAGCCTGTCCTGTGGTACTGTGGTTAGCAAGCGTGTCTGCTGGTGATTTTGAAAAGATAACGATAAAGTAAAGGGTCGCACAGATGCTTGGAGGGCGCTCCCAGCTCCGACCTGGGACGGGCTGGCGGGTCCTGGAATCTCCACAGAGAGGTGACCCAGAGCCTCCGCCAGCCCTGGAGCTTCTGGAACATCTGCCTCGAGGGTGGGGCCGGGGGAGTTCTGGGGTTTGATTTGGTTCTCTCTGCAGCGGGTGCGGGATGGGGGGTGGCGTGGGGCTGATGGGACGGACAGACAGAGTGGGTTTGTGACAGCACTGCAGCCCAGCGCGCCCCCTCGTGCCTGTCTGGAATCCCGTAGAGGGAGACAGAGCATCATGTCTCGCTCTGAAACCCTTGGAGCTAACCGGAAGCCTCGCCGGACCTTTGACCGCCGCGTTTCCCAGCACGCTTGGGGCCCTGCGGTGTCCTGCCTTGGGTCAGGCTCACTGGCGTCCGGTGCTCTTTCAAATGAAATGCACTTTGGATTAGTATCTTCAATGATATGTGTTCATTACACACAAAATGTGGAAAATCCTAAAATGCCGCAGGCGGGGTCATTTCTCATCCCAGGACCTTGCTTGTTACTACTGCAAGAGCCCTAGCATTCACGGGTTTTCTGAGCCGTGTACTCCCGCTTGAGTCCTTGGGGGCAGCTTTGGATAGCGTCTCCCAAGCGTGCAGGGGTACGTTACCCATTCTTGGGCTTGGCGTGTCCCTTCGCCTCCGTGCAACTCATGGCACTGTCCCCTTGTGCTTGAATCTTGCAGCTGGGGTGGGAGTGGGCTGGCGGGAACTCGGAGTTGGGCAGGGGATGGTTTCTAAGAACCCGTGACCCCGGCTGTTTGCAGGTCCCCAGGACAGCAGCAGGATGGGGATTTTGTACATCCTGGTCCCGAGCATCGCCATTCCTTTGGTCATCGCGTGCCTCTTCTTCCTGGTCTGCGTGTGCCGGAATAAGCAGAAGGCTTCCGCGTCTACACCACAGCGGCGGCAGCTGATGGCCTCGCCCAGCCAGGACGTGGAGATGCCTCTCATCACCCAGCACAAGCAGGTCTCCTCCGCCTCCTGGCCCTGCCTCTGCCTGGAGATGGCTTGCCCCCGACGTTTGGGTTCTTGGCTTACTCGATACACGACCCACCACCATGCTGAATTGCCCTGTATTTCCCCGCATCTCCTCTAAGACATGTCGGGACATTTGTGTCCTTAGGAAGGAAGTGGTAGGCGTGTTGGAATCCTGCCATCCCGGAGTCTAGGCTTCTCCCTCCGCTCAGACGGGTGCATTAGCCAGAAGGTGCCGTCCTGCATCTGTCAGCAGGGCTGCCGCTCTCCCCACAGGAGAACCAAGGGGAAAGGGCTTTGACCGGTCCACCTCATGGGGGCCCGGCTGGCTCTGACAAGGGACAGGGGCCTGTTTTCTGGTCCGTTTGGAGTTGGGTTGGTTTTGTTTTGCTTTGATTTTCGGGGAAGGGTGGAACTGCACATTTAGAGCGGAGGTAGGACACCCCCGTGCCCCTGCCCTGAGAGCTCTTAGGACAGCGATACCACCCCGAGATACAGCACAGGGGAGAATCTGTCCCGGCCTGCCTGGGCCTCCACGTTACTTATACGCTTTGGGGGTCGTCACTGCCGTCCGGTCTCTGAAGGGGATCGTCAAAGCGGTCGGGGGAGCGTGCACTGGGCTCGGAAGCCAGCAGTCACTGTGTGTTTGCTGGGGCTGGAGGGGTGGGGGGTGAGGAGACGCAGGTCAGCCCCCCAGCCCTGCTCGTGGGGCTTCTGTCATAACTTACCTAACCAAGAAGAAGCAGGGAGAGGGGCCCACGGAGGGACGGCTGGAAAACAGCTGGCCCGGACTCCAAGAGTGACAGAAATCGTGGGAAGCACACGGCAGGGTTCCAGGGAGACAGTCCGGGTGTCGCTGTGACGAGCAGTGGGGCCTGGGCCTCGGTGGCCGCCACGCATCAGGGAGCTGTGGGAGGGGCCCCCGATGGGGGACGCAGCTGGGAGAGTCCCTTGGTGCCTCTGGGACGGTGGCGCCCAGCTTGGCTGTGTGCGTGCGCGTGCGTGTGTGAGTGTGGTGTGAGCAGGTGTGCACCCGCCCTGCAGTGGGGTCTCTGGAGTTTGGGGGAGGGCAGACTTTGCAGCCTCGCTGGGACCCGTTGACGTGTTTCCGGCAGCTTCACGGTGCCGAGCGTGTTGAAGAGCAGAGAGTGGGTGTGGGTCAGGCGGGGCCTGGAGCGGGCAGGACTGGGGTCCTCTGCTGGGCTCCCCCCGCCCCAGCTGCCCGGCTTGTCCTTCCTGTTGTGGGAACAGAAGTGGTTCACGGGGCTTTTCTTGTTGGCAGGCCAAGCTCAAGGAGATCAGCTTGTCGTCGGTGAGGTTCATGGAGGAGCTCGGGGAGGACCGGTTTGGGAAGGTCTACAAGGGCCACCTGTTCGGCCCGGCCCCGGGGGAGCAGAGCCAGGCCGTGGCCATCAAGACGCTGAAGGACAAGGCGGAGGGCCCGCTGCGGGAGGAGTTCCGGCACGAGGCCATGCTGCGGGCCCGGCTGCAGCACGCCAACATCGTCTGCCTGCTGGGGGTGGTGACCAAGGACCAGCCCCTCAGCATGGTGTTCAGCTACTGCTCGCACGGGGACCTGCACGAGTTCCTGGTCACGCGCTCGCCGCACTCGGACGTGGGCAGCACGGACGACGACCGCACGGTGAGGTCCGCCCTGGAGCCCCCCGACTTCGTGCACGTCGTGGCGCAGATCGCCTCGGGCATGGAGTACCTGTCCAGCCGCCACGTGGTGCACAAGGACCTGGCCACCCGCAACGTCCTCGTGTATGACAAGCTGAGCGTGAAGGTCTCGGACCTGGGGCTATTCCGCGAGGTGTACTCGGCTGACTACTGCCGGCTGGCAGGCGGCGCACTGCTGCCCGTGCGCTGGATGTCCCCCGAGGCCCTCACGCACGGCAAGTTCTCCGTGGACTCGGACATCTGGTCCTACGGCGTGCTGCTGTGGGAGGTCTTCAGCCACGGCCTGCAGCCCTACTGCGGCCACTCCAACCAGGACGTGGTGGACATGGTGCGCGGCCGGCAGGTGCTGCCTTGCCCCGACGACTGCCCGGCCTGGGTGTACGCCCTGATGGTCGAGTGCTGGCACGAGGCCCCCAGCCGGCGGCCCCGCTTCAAGGACATCCACAGCAGGCTCCGCGCCTGGGGCAGCCTGTCCGCCTACAACAGCTCGGCACAGACCTCGGGGGCCAGCAACGCCACGCAGACCAGCTCCCTGAGCACCAGCCCCGTCAGCAACGTCAGCAACGCCCGCTACGGGGGCCCCAAGCAGAAGGCCCAGGCCTTCCCGCAGCCGCCGTTCATGCCCATGAAAGGCCAGATCAGGCCCATGGTGCCCCCTCCCCAGCTCTACATCCCTGTCAACGGTTACCAGCCCGTGCCGGCCTACGGGGCCTACCTGCCCAACTTCTACCCGGTCCAGATCCCCGTGCCGATGGCGCCGCCGCATGTGCCCGCTCCGGTGGCCCCGAAGCCCGGCTCCCACCACAGTGGCAGCGGCTCCACCAGCACGGGCTACGTGACCACGGCGCCCTCCAACACGTCCATGGCGGACAGGGCGGCCCTGCTCGCGGAGGCCGCGGAGGACACGCCGAATGTCCCCGGAGACGCGGCCCAGACCCCCGGGCAGGAAGGGGAGGGGGAGGAGGACGGCTCCGTCCCCGAGACCGAGCTGCTGGGGGACAATGACACTCTGCAGGTGGACGAGGCCGAGGTCCCCCTGGGCAGCCTGAGGGGCACGGGGCCACTGGGCACCCCGGGGGAGGCTTGAGCCCCAGGCGCGGGGTAGGGGGCGCCGGTTTGCCGTCTCTCGGCGCAACCTCTGCTCCCCCGCCGTCCTCTTGTGCACAGAGCGGCCGCTCCCGCCCCCAGCGGCCAGAGGGTCTTTGAGCTGGGGACACTTGACCGGGCGGGGGTAGTGGTCTGGTGGGACACACGGTGACACCTACGCGGCCGGCAGTCCCTAAGGGAGACGGGCAGGGAGGCCGGCCTGTGCCGTGTGGGAAAGTAGCCACCGTCTTCCCTCCCTCGTGCGTGTGCACTGGAGATGGTGCCCTTTGGGGCTTCCGGGCAGCTGGCCTGTTCCTCCCGCCGCCCCCACCGGTGACTGTCTCCCACCACCGTCGCTGCCCAGGACTGGCGGGACTGGGTGGCTGCCCCCCGCCAGGGTCCCAAGAGCACGGGGCTTCTGAGGCGGGGGCTCTCTGTGCCTCCAAGAAAATGTGCCTTAAAAAGAAAAAAGCCGGTGCGGTTTTGTACTTTGGGGAAATGGTTGTGGTCACCCTGCATGTGTATCCGGCCCCTTGTCTGGAGTCGGGGGAGGTGTGCTGGGGTTTGGAGTGTTAGGGGCACTGCCGTACGGAGCACAGCAGAGAATTCTGTTTCGTAGACGCGTGTACAGACCTGAAGTGTAATTTATACGGTTGCGTCCGCCGTTTTCACTGAAGTACTGTGAGCTCAGTAATTTAGGTGCTGATGTGACCCACTCTGGGACGCCTCCCGACTGTATTTTGTCTGCCTGTGTTTGTCCCCAATGCAGGCGAGGTCCGTTCATTTCAGGCGGGAGAGAAGGCTCACAGGCCGCACGCCCGTACACCCCACTTGTAACCCCCATACCTGGTGTATCCAATAAAGTGAAACACGACTTCCAGCCGGCTCTGCGCGGGGGGAGGGCGTCCGGCAGCCGGAGTTCCTCAAGATGGCAGGGGACGGCGAGGGGACGGCGCGGGCTGAGGGCTGGCCCTGGGGCGAGCTCGCTGGGAATTTGCATCAGGTGCGCGGGCAGCGGGACCCATGTCCGCTCTGCTCCCAGGCAGGTGGGGGGGGGCTGGGGGGTGCCAGTGTCCACAGCCCTGGGCGAGCCACCCAAGCCCAGAACGGACGATCCTGACCTTGTAGGACCTCAGGTCGTGCAGAACCTCAGGCTCGGGGCTGCCCCATGTCTGGTCTTTACTCCCCAGATGTGCTTCTCCAAAATAGCCGTGACCAGGAACCTCGCAAAAGGTTTGTCTTTAAAATTCCTTTCCCTGTGAGCAGTGACGGTTTTCCCCTCACGTTCGCTGGACACAACCAGGCAGGCGTGAGGCCGCTCACCCGCGCGTGCAGGACACAGGACACAGAAAACTGAGGCATTTGCTGGAGGAAGGCAGTCTTACCCCACAAGGTTAGCTGTGCAGGGGCGCGGGGTCCTTCGGGGGAGCCGGGAGCCCCTCGGAGGGCAGCAGAGCTGGGCGTGCGTCCCGCCTCTCTCGACCGTCCTGGGGTCTCCAAGCCGCAGACCAGGCTGCAATTCTGACGAAGGTCACTAGAGGCCACTAGAAAACAAGCTAATTAGTCCACGGAGCTAGTCTCTGTCTACAAATAATTGTAGTTTGCCCCCAGGGTCAAAGGGGGGGGCACCGGCATCTCTTCGGTGCGCCCATTTAGGTGGGGGGGGCATACACAGAAATACCAGGCAGTGGAGGCGCCTCTCCAAGCCCAGGCCGGCTCCCTCCTGCAGGGGTGGGTTACGAGAGGTGAGGTCCCCGGGGCGGGGGTTTTCTCCCTCTCCCGGCTGCCACCCCAGGGTTGTGGCACTTCCTGGGCTCTGCTGGGCTGAGCCACAGGGGCGCTCTGCAGAGGGCAGAGCGAAGGTGAGGCTGTTTCCCCTGAGACGCCCACCGTGACCCTCCATTACGGATTTGACGACCTCTTTCCAGTCGCGTGTCCGGACAGACGGCAGCTGGGACCCGGAATGGATGTCACACCGCCCCTTTGCTCAGCCTTTGCTCAGGAGTCACGTAAGGCCCTGTTCCAGCAACCAGCCAGCAAATTGAGAGAAAGAACCGCGCAGGTTCAGGAAAATATCAAGAATCTTCCTAAAACCCCTCTCCCCGGTTCTCGAACTCAAGGTAGCTGCTGTGCACCCCACCCCGTCCCCACAACCCTCCCAGAGCTCAATCGCTCTCTCTCCCTCCCTCACACACACCCTAAGGAGTCCTTTGCTCATTGACTGCTTTGCTTCCTAATAACCCTCACGGCAAATCTCTGATAAGTGAAATTCTCTGCTTCTAGATTTTTTCTCTTTTAGTACTAAGTTATTGTGAATGCAATTGTAGCGTTACCGTGAACATCCTTGTGCCCGAAACCATGACCTACGCCATGCCTGGCACAGAGAACACCAGAGACGGGGCTGCCCGTGCCTCCCCCACACGCCCCTCCCCCTTCCCCCGTGTTCTTTTTTTGACACCACAGACCTGTCTGTCCTGATGCCCTCGTGCTTCCTTCTAACCCATCAGTTGTCTCCTCGAAGTATCTGTGCCCACAGATGGACGCGGGGGAGCAAAGTTGCACATTTCACCGGGAACTCCTCCCTCTGTCCCAGACCGGGGCAGGAAGCCGCCATCACACAAGGCTCCGTGGCCACAGATCTTGGTCAGGTCGGCCTGAATTCCGGTGCACGAGCAGTTTTAAAAACCAGGATAAATGCCATGAAATGAAAGTATTGGGATTGTCAAGATGAGCTCTCCAGGCCACAGAAGAATGTCCGTACTAGCCCCGTCCTGATGCAGAAGTAGACGCCAGTATTGTGCGGGATGAAGGGCTCACGGCGTGTGCCGGGCTTCCTTCAGAAGTTGACCCGCAGTGACTCGTGTCGCTGGAGGACTGGGGTCCCCCCGCCCAGACACGGCCAGAAGGGTCCATCCTCGGCACACCCAGCCCTCCCCCGAGGAAGGTGAAGCGAGTTGCCTCTGGTCAAAAAGATGGGTTAAAAACACAGAAAAACAGAAGAGGTCACTGTGGGTGTTAAACATGGCGGGACCTAAAGTCAGAAGTACTCGGAGATGATGCGGGGCTCCCTGAGAAGTCAGAGAAGCCACGGCTGTTCACACTCCAGGCAGGGCAGGTAAATACACCAGCAACAGCTCCCTTAGCGGGGTGTCACGGCATCTTCTAGAATCCGAGAGAGTGAGTTGGAAACACGTGAGCAAACGCGGGAGCGTATGAGTAGCGCCATCCCCGGCCTAAGCCAGGGGACTGAGAATTCCGTTCCCTGTGGGCACGTTTCTCAGGGACATTTCCACATCATCGATCATGTCCTAGACAACAAAGTCAACCGGAATAAAATCCCGGAAGTAGAGACGTCACCGGCCCTGCCCTCTGACCATAATCTGGGAAACCGACGACAGCCCTCGTCTTGTGGGGAGGGATGATGGAGAAGTGCCTCCCTTCGTTTCTCGCCCCGTGAGATCCGTCCCACTGCGCACGGAGAGCCACGTGCCCTGCGTGTGAGCTGCCAGCAGCAGGTGGCTTCCCCCACCGGTCCCACCGTGTCCCCAGCGAAGAAGGAATGAAGTTTAGAAACAACCGTACGCCCAGGGAGCTCGGGGGTTTTCTTTCTCCCTCACGTCCGAAGAAGTTTGTAACTGTTGGCCCCAATGAACTTTTTTTTTTTTTTAAGTGATTGCAAGATCCTGTCACTGGATTTTATTTATTTATTTTCAGAGAGAGAGAGTGAGAACACGAGCGGGGAGGAGAGGGAGAAGCAGCCTCCGATGCGGGACTCGATCCCAGGACCCTGGAATCATGACCGGAGCTGAAGGCAGAGGCTTAACGACGGAGCCACCCAGGCGCTCCAAGACCTTGTCACTGGACACAGCAGTGGTGGCACTGCAGTCCTCTTGCTTCCCTTTTGACACAGTCCGTGTCCCGGGGACACTTGAGAGGAGGGGAAGCTCCTCTCCACCTCTACGGCGGGAAAGATGGGGAAATCAGCGGAAGGGTGACCCACCGTGACTACGGGTCCGAGTCCAAGGAGATGGGGGTCCCGGGAGCTGCACGTTCCCTTGCACAAACACCGAGATCCCAAGGAGGGATGACCCTGGAGTCAGGCATGGATCAAGGAGACAGGTTTCTCTGACTCTGCTGTCAAGCAGTGGCATCCCTCTCCCTCTCTCTCTCTCAGTCTCTCTCTCTTTCTCTCAATCTCTCTCTCTCTCTCGGTAACAAATTTCCTGGCATCGTTTTCGTGTTGGACATTTTATGAGGTGCTCGGTGCAGAGCCACTTGGATGAAACTGCGCAGGGGACACCGTGTGCCACTGCACTGTCCTGGAGGAGCTCAGTCGCAGCTGGGTGAAGTCAGACCTTCCTTTCTGACGATCTATTGTTTCTTCTCTTTCCTTTCCCCGCTAGGCTCGAATCAGGCCAAAGATTCCATTCCTCGCCACGTTTTCTAGGAGGCCAGTGGCACGGGGTGGGGCGCGGACACAGAAGGGCAACACGGCGTGAGCCCTGCAGAGAAGTTGCCATGGTCACCTTCTCTAACTGCATTCTCAGCGGAACCCCAGCTCACAGCAGGGGAAACTGAGGCCCAGGGGATGGCACGTGCATGGCGACGGGATCAGGAGGGCTCTGCGGCCAGGCCAGGGTTCCCACTTGGAGACACTCCAGTGCCTGCACCTGCCATAGGCCCTTCCCACCAGGAGGTGCAGCTGTGGCCCGGGATGGTGGCCGTGGGAAGGCTAGGACAGGGCCTCGAAGCCCCGTGCGTGGTGTGTGGGGCTGGGGAACTCCTCCTGGGGTAGAACCTGAGGGCTTGGGGGGTCACTCCTTCTGGGAGCGGGGCATGGAGACACGGGGGGTATAGGCTGTCCTCCTGGGGATGACTGGCCCCGATCCGATTTGCCCCAGGGCCACTATACACAGTCCGGGACAGTTCCTCCTACAGGACGGGTCCGCGCACAGGTTGGAGGGGGCCCAGGGCTGAAGGGACCTCCTGGGGGCTCAGGGACAGATCACTGTGACCCAAGCGTCAGGGTCTGCACAGGGCGGTTCCCCAGAGAAGGAGCCCTCCCGAGGTCCCCGGCCACGGAGATTCTGGTCCATTTATTTTCTCTCCCTCAATTCCTTA